ATATATGTCTGTATATATTACTATACCTTTAAATCAATATGTATAGATATGGATTTGTAGTTTTGTACTTTAGAAACAAATATATAAATATAGATTATGTTTATACATACTCACACACATACATCAACAGGTATAGTGTTTAACATGTATAAGGACAAAACTGCATTTCAGATAGGGGCCACATATTTTTGATTTTTTTTTTTTACTTTTCAATGTTTTTCCACATTCACAAGTTAGATCACAGATATCTATGCCTCCCTCAAAATGGAAAAGGATAATTTGCATGGACTAACATGTAAATCAGCTTTTAGAATTCTTAAGCAGCTCCAGATCAATGTTTTCTATAGTGGATGGAATGAAAAGTCAAATGAGTGTGCAATGCTGTGACAGTTATAACAATAATCCGCATATCTTGAAACATTGCCTGAACAAAGCTGATTAGACCAACACTGAACATGTGATTTGCATCATGAATATTAACTGAGGCACATAGGCTAAATGCTTCCATTAATCCGGAGCAGCTGAAATAGTTGATTCCAATTCCATTATTCTTTGCAAGTAAGTGTGGTGACATCACCTCTTCTGGGGCTCTCACGTCACTTCTAGTGAAGCTGGGGAGACTCTGTCACACTCAGCCCGGGATCTCAGGCTGTGCCACTGCTCCATTGCTGTCCTATGGGAATTCAACATTCGTCGCCAATGGTTTGATTCAGGGGAGCCGGATGAATACTGACCAATCACAATCCTTCCAACGAAGTCATTGCTGCTTTTCATGTTGTGTCCATAAACTAAAAGAAAAATATATTTTATTTCAATCATTCCATATTTGATTAAAAATAAATGTATAGATTACCATCAATATCTGCTTTTATCAAACAGATAACATGAAACATCCAACTGATGACTAGACCTGATAACATTTCTACAAAACTGACAGACAGGAAAGGGTTTTAGTGGGTCATCAGCATTAAGTGTACCTGTGATATGAGCATCATACCTGACTCTCCCATCTACCTGCATGCAATATTTATCATTTTCCTGAATGCCCTAGGAGCCTGCAAAACCTGTGGGTTCTATTCTGCCAATTTCCACCACAGTTTGCATGGTTGTCCATTGACCAGCCCTTGTCACCCCATGAGGCTTTGCATTGTTTAGTAAGGTAACCTACAATGTTAATAGTAAAAAGGGGGAGTGTTAGAGTGTCACCATGCAAGGTCTGGTAGGAATTAGCATAATGGAGTGCGCCAGGTTTTGGGGCTCCTGGGATGTTCTGGAAATGATGTATACAACTATCTGCTATACAGACAATTAAAAGAAACCTTTCACCAGCACACCAAGGTCCACTTTATTGATTCATCTTTATTCACATAAGATAATCATGGTATCACAGTGAAACACAACGTTTCAGAATTATATGTGGTTCCTTCATCTGGCAAACTATGTAATGACTAATTGTTTGTCTGATGAAGGATCTGCATATGGTTCCGAAATGTTGTGTTTCACTGTAATACCATGATTATCTGTCTTCAATAAAAACAGATCAATAAGGTGGACCCTTGGTGTGCTGGTGACTTAATTCTTTTCACTGTTTTATGCAGTGCCACCTTATGTGGTGCTGTAGTGGCCTGTATTTTGGTCACTACAGCACCCACTGGAGCTATTTGAAGTGGTAAATGTGTCATGAGTGCGATGGGATACTTCTAATGCCGTACAGACAACGTGGGTTTGTTGCAAACAGAAAAGGCAGAACTTTGCTTGAAATATCAATAATGCACCACTGGTGTCAACTGCATAATAGTTACTACTCATTACTTCCGTACCTTGGGTGCCAAACCTATGGATGTTACAGCCTTATCCAAACATGCATACCTGCTAAAGAATAAGGATTAAACACTTAATCTGAGCTGTAGGCTGCCCAAGTTTTTAGTGCATGGCTGTGTTTAATTTATTTTACTATGTGCTACAGAACAATCAAGATTGCTGCAGTGTACAGACGTTCCTTGTTACTTGTTTTATGTACTTGTGTTAGGAAAAGAGTTAACAAGGTCATCAAAAAGCCCCTCTTCAGTGGATTTAGGTTTACAAGCATTCCTTAGCAATCATATTATCACATATATGACCCAATATCCCATTTTTAAAATCTATTACACACTGTGTTACTTGAGACCTTCTTTCTCAGATGTTGAGTGGGAAAATTTTACAAACGCCAAAAAGCTGACATTGTATAAGCACCCGTGGGTTTATGTACATCACAAAATAAAACCCATCTCCATATGTTAGATGAGTAACTGTGCTATTGAGCTAAATGCAGGCATTTGTTATGAGATCATTTAAATCACAACTATATTCTAAAAAATCTGCCTTTGCAACTGAAATTGATGACAGCACAAGTAGGCTGCTAATGTTGATATTCTGGAACATGAATGAGTGACAGGCTGTATTTATCAAAATGTCTGCAAAACAACTCTTAGCCTCCATTCACATATAGCATTTGCGTTTCCCGAGCGGTTTTCCATCACGCAAACACTAAAATCTTTACAACTGCACGGATTCCACTTGTTTGTGGCTATTACTGTAGCTGTGAACGTGCAGAATCTATTTTGCCTTAGCAAAAAGTTTCCCAGCACACTCACTGGCCAGCATGCAAAAAAAAACATGTGTAACCACTAAGGTTACAAATGCACCCAATTTTTTCTTTTGCTATGTGCGCTCCAAGATGGAGACTCTCATAGGTTAGAGATAGGATTGCACTACACAGAGGGGCCTTGACAAGGCTTTCACATATTCTGCAGAAGAATTGTATCTAAAACCTCTGTGTTTAACCTTAGCGGTTAGACAGGTTTTTTTTGCATGCTGGCCGGTGAGTGTGCTGAGAAACATTTTGCTGTTGTATTGTTTAAAGCCCTTCCGTGTGCACCTTGCTTTAAAGCTGGCTATAAGTTGATGCCATTTGTTTTGCTAGACTATTTTGCAGGACGCACAGTTTTGCACCACGCGGTCCCCGCAATAGTCTGAACAATGTACATTAAAATGCATAGTTTTTTTATGTTTGAGCGGTTCCATGCGTATTTGGCCATATGAATACGCACGGACAACCGTTCTTCTGTGAATGGGAGTTTAGCATCTGACCTCAGCACAACTACAGTTAGATAACCCTCTATTATTTAGTACAATTGGCTATAGCAACTGTTAACTTTTGAGCTCCAAGACTACACTAGAGAAAAATTCATAAATTAGGAGGCAGCTGTCATTTGTAAGGAGCACACGGAGCTCCCGGGATTTGTACATCTCTGTTTTAATGTATGATTTTGTTTTTATAAATATAAATAAAGTGATGCACAGATACCAGTTTTGCGAGTACGAGTACTGGTACTTGCCGAGTACTTACAAGTACGAGTACTGATACATTTTTCTAAAACAATACAGACTAATGATTTCAGGACAGTGGTGGAGTGTAAGAGCCGGGTCCCAGCTGCGACCGCTGCAACCCTGGTAGTTCTCATGAAAATGCCAAGTATCTGTACTGGTACTCGAAAAGTATCTGTGCATCCCTAGTAAAAATGGTAAACAGCTACTATTAATATCTTTAGGTATGTTCAGATACCAAGTACCCTACTTGGTACAAGTCCAAGTACTGATACTTCTCCAGCTCCAAGGCTAGACTAGGAGGCAGCTGTCATTTCTAAGGAGCATTGGCTACAGGGCTCCTGGGATTTGTGCATCCCTGTTTTATACATTTGTATTTTTGAGGCACGTGACAGACTAATGATTTCAGGACAGTGGTGGAGAGCCAGGGCCCAGTCACAGCTGCTGTTCTTGTGAAAATGCCAAGTTGAACCTGCTAGTTCTCGTGAAAATGCCAAGTTTTGGCACTGGTATCTGAACCGGTATCTGAAAATCCCTAAAAAACTTAGGTCCTGAATTTAATAATGTAAAGTTAATGGTCATAATAAACCACTGTCTAACAGGCTTCTCAAGCCTAGGATTGTCCAAATGACAAGGGGTCATCCTCTTAGATCTGAAGATAAACCATTTTTCCACCAGCAAAGAAAATCCTTGTTCACTGCATAGATATATGCACACAATCGCTATAAAGGGATGGATGATGTTCAGGTCAGCAAATGCCCCTTCCCTACCCCAATTACAAGCTCAGAACAACTGTATGGAATCAAATAGTGTAGTACAGGTATTTTTTGGGATACACTGACCTAATCAAGCCATGTTTTACATTTATTTAAATATATTGTAATAAAAGCTCTTCCCAAATATTTTGCATCCAGTGCTCATGTGAACCTCACGTTAGGTTGTCAGACTTTGTTCTTCTCTACCTTGGTAATGATGATGGTCTGGAGTATAAAGTGGTTCAGATATATTTCTTACAGCAAATTGCTTCTATCAGTAAGATGACTAAATGAGAAAAATTGTCACCTGCCTCACTCAGATTTTTGTTTTGCCTTGCCCTGTATTACCAATATTTCTTCAGATTAGACTGAATGCACTCAGTCTAAACAGTTTTCAGTAAGTAACACCTATTACATATAACACAATTTAATAGATTTTTTGTTACATTTAAGAAATATCAATATAAATGTAATGATTACAAAATGGTTTGCAAAAAAATAATATATATATATATATATATATATGCTACATGGCATTGCTTTTTCATATTCATATTGCATTTTCAGTCTCTTCTGGATTATTCTGAACGTCAAATACTTTGTACACCTTCTAATTAAACACATTTCTTCTACATATACCCCTGTATACTACTGTATATAAAATTATATACACTCTTGTTTTGGCTTTCTTTAGAAGAAAGGTAGTCAGTAAGATGTTATAAATGTTTCATACTGAATAGGAGGAAATCTTCTGTGACCTGCAATTGCTTTTTCTTCTTCAGTGTGCTCAGAATCATAGGTCACAGTGCCTAAACCTCAAACCATCTGTGGCTGGTTTTGATGTGATATTCTGTCTAATGCTTAAGTGAATTTTTCATCCAACTGAGATCACTTTTATGCAACTTGAAAACCAAGTCCAGATTTTTCTGAATTACCCTAATTTCATTTTTTTCCTGACTGTTTTAACCTTATGAATCCAGCTACTATTTAGACACTTTGCTTTTGTAAGTAAAAGTAAATGTAAAAAAAATTAAAAAAGAGAAAACATGCCCTGTGTGACAGCCAAATATATCCATACTGAAGCAAAAACAAAGACGTTGTCTGCTTCCTACATGACTATAAAAAAAAAATCAAATGTAAGAAAAGCAGAAGGTCCTCATAATGCCATTATCAGATTACTATTAAAAAAAAAAACAAAAAAAAAAAACATACCTGCCATACCTGAGAACTGTCATATGGGGCTAGTAGGAAAGTCCTTAGCACTGCATTAGCTCCAACACAGCCCAACATGGCATTTACACATGGCTTTCCACTTAGGGCTCAAGGGTGCACCTGTGCCCAGACTATAGACATTAAATTATTTTGATATTCTTTTTTTTGTTCAATGAAATAATCAATAATGTCAGATCATGCCTCGTGCTTTTATCTAAATCGTGGAACATGCATTATACCTTTCCAAAACCTTTTAGCAGAGCTGGGAAAAGAGTTTCACCGGATACATTTGAATGCAAGCAAATAAGGTATTTTAAGAGTACAAATTATTTACAATTACCTTAAAGCTGAAGTCTGAGATAAACAAATATTTAAAAAATATTTGGTATTGTGTGTTTGTATTCTTGCTTGATTCTTAGTGCCCTACTTAGTACTCTCTTTCTATGTAATGTTTA